CCAAACAGATAAGAGTTAGCATTTAGTTAATTTTTATATAATTGTTAATACAAATCATTACCTTATGTTGTACATCGGCAAAGGGTGTTCTCCCGGTCCTATGCACTGGACCACGCAGCTCCCGATTTTTAGAATTACAGTTAGCAATCTTCTATAAAAGTAAAGCATTCACATTTTACAAAAACTATTAATTAAATGTCATACAAGAGATACATGAATATATTTGTATACCATTGCATCTTTACTACTCCAATACTCCACCATCACCCTCCATTGTTCTGGCAAAATGTCCAAAGGCACTTTTTCATTGATATTTGGATCATTTTTAAAAGGCTTGTAGTGATTAGTCTTAGTCTTATGTTTGTGATCCTTCCATAATTTGTTACATGAGTCTATGACCACTTGCTTCAACCCTTCTGGAGCATATAACAAGTTATCCTACACAACGGATAATCTATGACCACTTGGTTTTGAACTGATTCATATATAGTAAATGGATAATCAATGAATAATGTTTCAGAGTTCATGAATGAATTTGAGATTATCACTTGTTTTTGCTTACTGCATCATCCAAGTTTGCCTTATATGCTCTCATACCTTTGTGATCTATACGGGCTTCCCTATTAGTGCCTATGTTTTGAGGTTCATCTCTTATTTTATTTTTTTTTTGGTTTAATGACAAGGGATGTCCGAAAAAATTTATGCAAATCTTAACTAATCCCCTCTCTAGTTCGGTCAAAGATAGATGATCCACGCTAGAATTAGGAAATTCATGAAAAACTTCTTCCTCGCAAATTGGCATAAGAGTTGAATTCTAAACAATTGTATAAATAGCATACTTACTTACCAACCATTCAGGACAATTATAATTTAAGATAAAATAAAATAAAATAAAATAAAAAGGCTTCCCTTAATGTTTGCGGGTATAAGGATTAAAATTTAAGACCTTAAGTCTAAGGAATAATATTTTTATCATCTGAAAGGAACATACATATTCATATATTAAGCATGCTTGTGTCTATGTAAGTCAATCTTTTCGGCTATGTTCAATAAACTTGCCTATAAGTACTTTCAATGAGGCAAATGGCCATGTTTAGGCCATATAATATATCTATCTTGTTTGGTGGGTACCCTAGTTGGTCTGCCATTTCTTCAATGACAACCACAGTTGAATCACACATATAGGACCATTTGATGGGTACAGATCATCATGACCTGATGTTCAACAATGTACATCACTATTCATGATCATCGTATACAAAACAAACATGTCTTGCATTCCGAACTCTTATCTTTTAATATTCTGATATTAAATGGGAGAATATGCACTTTTTATGCATTTTTATGATATATATTATGTATTTTTGTGATTAATGTTACGTAATTTTTTGATAAAATTATAATAATTTGTAATTAAAAAATAATATTAACATAATGACAAAATATATAATTTTATTTTTAAATAACAAATTATTATAAGAAAAAATACGTCTGGGTTATCCTTCTTAAGCCAATGATCACTGTCCTCCAGCATATAAATAGAGGACCTAAGGATTTAGAGTGGAAAGAATTAAGTGGGTCAACCAAAGCATTTACTTTAAAAAATTTATAGATATATGAACCCCCAAAGCCATAGTCTACCAACCTCACAAATGCCATTTCATGAGTTAGTGAAGTAGTACTTTAGCAGAATTGTTGTTGTTAATCAAAAGTCCCTCCAGTCAAAAAGATAGGCACTGAAATTAGATATATTTCAAACCATATCCTTGTGTTTGTTTTTTTTTTCTTAATGACTTTCTTGACCGTTCTCAAAAGCTCAGTGCAATTTTCACCATATCCTTATATTCTTACAATTTTTTTATATAAATTCTTCACCTTATGTTCTTACAATTTTTTTATATAAATTCTTCACCTTATGTTCTTACAATTTTTTTATATAAATTCTTCACCTTATGTTCTTACAATTTTTTTATATAAATTCTTCACCTTATGTTCTTACAATTTTTTTATATAAATTCTTCACCTTATGTTCTTACAATTTTTTTATATAAATTCTTCACCAGAATGATATATCATATATATGATGGTGATAGTTTTATTATTAAAGTAGTCATTTATTTTAAAATGATCAAGTTTAAATTTAACTGCATATATATATATATATATATTTTCTTCTGTATGTGTAACATATATATATATATATATATATATTTTCTCTCTCCCTCACTAATATATTTGTCTTTATATTTTAGTAGAAAAATCAATGGAGATGGAATCATGTGTCCCTCCTGGCTTTAGATTTCACCCAACGGAGGAAGAACTCGTGGGATATTATCTCAAGCGAAAGATTAACTCATTGAAAATTGATTTAGATGTCATTGTTGACATTGATCTCTACAGAATTGAACCATGGGACATCCAAGGTAAATTGGCTTTCTTTTCAAATTTTTTCCTATTACTTAGACCAATTGACCAACCAAAATTACCATGTAGTACTTAGGTTTGATTAAATTATGATGATGTGAAATACAGATAGGTGTAGATTGGGATATGAAGAACAAAGTGAGTGGATGAGAAAGACAAGGCTGTGCTTTCAAAGAACAAGGCTGTTCTTTCAAAGAACAGAATAATAGGGATGAGAAAGACCCTAGTGTTCTACAAGGGCCGCGCACCCAATGGAAGGAAATCTGATTGGATCATGCATGAATATCGACTCCAAACATTTGAACATGCACCTCCTCAGGCAAGTTCAATCAATGACTTGCAACTACAACAAATGTTTTCATGTTTTTTTTTTTTTTTTCATAAAAATTACTTCTAAACTAAATGGGAAACAATATCAAGAACATAAATGGAAAACTAACTTCTATAATTTCTTAGTGAGGACAACACAATATTACCCAATTACTGCTAGTAGATTACAAAACGTATACACCATTAATCCCTCATACATAAAAAGCTGAAAAACAGAGAACATTTTTTGGGTACATATCAAGCCAAACCCATTCGGTGAAAAACAGGGCCGAAAGATTACAAATCCATACACCATTTTTCCCCAGTTTGATTCCAGAGAAAGCTCAGAATTAACGAGGGGTGAAAGAACACAAATCAAACACTCAAATCATTTACTATTTCAATTGTTAGAGAGACCGATATATATATATATAGAGAGAGAGAGCACTTACCCGCAAGAGGATAGTCGGCGGTGTTGGTGGAGGAGAGGAGAGTCGGTGGTGCTGGTGGAGATGGAGAATCGGCGGTGCCGGTGGAGAGGAGAATCAGTGGTGTCAATGAAGAGTTTGTTTGTAGTGATGAACCAAGATTGAATTTAGGGCAAAAACAGAAAAGAAAAAAAAATAAAGAGGAAGGGTATATATATCAGCCTCTAAAACTATGTCGTTTTAATTTTTTTCAATTACTTTTTGTGACGGCACAGAATACCGACACAAAAGTGACCTGAAATGGCGCGAAAAAAAGGCACGCGATGTAGTTTTTGGAGCCAAAAAATGGAAAAAAAAATTAAATAATTTTTGTTTGAGACGGTAACAATTTGGCCAACGCAAATAAAAAATTTTTGTGACGGCATAGTCTGCCGACTCAAATAATAACACTAAGTAAATTTTTTTTGAGACGGTCCTACTTTGCCGACTCTAATAACATATTTTTGAGTCAGCAAATGTTTCTGTCACAAATAATGGGACTCAAATAGCTCATTTTCTTGTAGTGACAGTAATTTATGACATTTTTGTTAAGATTTCAAATGTTTTAAGAATTCGTTTGGAAAGTGAGTTGGTTTTTTAATTTTTTTAGTTTTTTAGTTATTTTAATCTAGATCTAAAAAGTCACGTTTGGGATAAATTTTTTGACTTTTTTAACTTTTATAAGAGAAAGAATGTAATGATTATGAGTTGAATGTGATATTTTGTCTTATTAAGTTAAAAAACTTATTTTGTCTTTTTGTAACAAATAATCCTAAACCCAACCCAATCTAAGTTGCCAAACAAAGGCTTAGTTTCAGTTGAATTGTCTTGTCTTTGATACTTTTCTGTTAAAATTTAAAAGTGCTGAATTGAAATAGACTTCATTTAAATAAAAGGATGTAACCTTCTATTTGAATGAAATGGTGCAACCCTTTCATGGTGTAGACACCCCATTTTTGACCGTCCTCAAGACTTGGACGTCACCGTTTGAATACTCGGTGATCATCCATGTTTGTATTCGTCTTGAGTTCCCGGAGGTCTCGGCCACGCGCCCTGCCTCAGGATCTCTCAACTCGACTGTTTTGTGTTTGGTTTTGCACCAAACACTTGTGTTTTGCCTTTGAGGGGCAGGGAATGGCTTGTTGGCCATTCTCACACATCACCGGCCATGGCTTGAGGCCACCGGCTGGGTTTTGTTGCCATCGGCCAAATATTTGGTCGGTCGGCACTCTGGATGGTCGGTCGGCCATCTATTTCGGTCAAATAGCATTTTTGGCTGGTTGACCAGTGTACATCTGCTTTTGCAGATATTTTTATACCAGCTGTGCTAGCTGGCATACACTTTGCTCCCCTTCATACACGTGTATGGAGGGATCTCCCTCTTGACTAGCTTACTTGAGAAGCTTTGCAAGAGTGATCTCTATAAGAAGGAGCCTCTTCTCCCTCCATTAGGGTTACAACATTTTTTCCAGAGAGTGCTCTGAACTAGGGTTAGGTCATAGTGTATCTATCCTATCTCTATATCTTCCTCTCTTTGCCTTAGTGTGTGTTTGTTCTTAGTTTTGCATTCATTCACCTAGTGTTACACCTTACCTTGGCTACTGAGGTGCTAAGGAGTCATTTTCAGAGTTTTGGAGCTGTTTTGAACCTAAGGAGGCTGCTGGTCTTCCATTTTTGAAGAGGGTCTACAAGGGTAACAACTTTCCCCCTTTATTCCCCATTTTTGCATAGCCTTTTTACCAATCTTGCACCTGTTTTTAGGCTTTGTGTATAACATATAAAAGTCTTGTTTTTATCTGCCTAAAATAGTTGTTTAAGGTTGCTTTGAGCTTTAGGGTTGTTTAACCCCTCTTAGGGCTTGTTTGGCCCCCATTTTGTGCCATTTTGGTAAGGGATTTCAGTGGTGAGGATGGTGGTTTAAGGTCCTAAGAAGGAGAGGGCCACCCCCTCTCCTTGTTGTCCTTATAAAGGGCCATTTTAGCCTCATGTGTGAGCACCATTTTTAAGTGCATTTTGGCCATGTCTTAGTTGTTATTTGTGCTTATTTTGTCATAATATAGCACTGTTTTTACTTGGTTTAGACACACCATGCTTGCCTTGCATACATATCTTGCAATGCCATGATTTGCCTTAACATATGCCTAGCATTCAGCCTATTATGCTTACTTATCTTGGCCTAGCTTTGTGAAGCTTTTGTGCTTGTTTTAGCATGCTCAAGTTCTATTTTTTGTTGTTTTGGTCGACCATGACATGCTTAGTATGGCCACCTTGCATTTTGGCTTGTTAGCCTTGGGTGTGTGAGTGTGGAGCATGCTTTACTTGCTTTGTTTTAGTGGTTTGGAACCATTTGCCATGTCATTTCAGTCCTCATGGTATGCTTGAATGCTTACATTTGATGCCCCTTTAATGTGTTAAGAGGTTGGTGTTTCATGCTTTATGTTTGTGCTATTGTGTATGCCTCTAGGATTAGGTCATTTAGATGCCATCTAAGTGGTTCTTAGGACTTACTTTTGCATGATTTAGGACTGTTTTGGTTCATTTTGGTCATTTGCTTCATGTGTCATATGATCATGTTTTAGGTCCTTGGGTTTGGTTGCATGCCTAGCTTGCATTGGTAGGTTGATTTGGCATCATTTCCTACATGTTCTCAAAGCTTATTATGTATGCCATATGTCCATGGTTATTCCCTTTTAAGTGTGCTCAAAAGATACTTCTTGATGCTTAAATGTTTAGGCCTTAACATGTGCATGCTTGTGTGTGTTTTGCCTCTCATTTCCATAGCATTTGGCCACTGTTTTGGGCCTAATAGAGAGCTGTCCAAATTAGTGTAAGTCCCTCCTTTGCATATTGTGGCATGCTCACCTTGTGTGTTAATTACATACTTGACTTACCACGTATTGTTGTTGTATGTTTAAGTGACACTTGCATTTAGCACGTATTTCCTTGACTAGGTTGCATAACATGTTGCATGCCTTACACAATTGCATGATTAGGTTACATCTTGCATGTTGATCATTAGCATAGTTATTACATGCTTGCATGCTTGCTAGCTTAGGTTGTGTGCCTAGCATACTTGTCTTCATGTTCATATTACATGCCTAGTTCGCACGCCTAGGTTGCATTGCATTGGCATGCATGCCTTACCTCTTGATCAAGTGATAGAGGTTGGGCCATTTGTTTGTTTAAGTGCATTTCATTCGACATTGAAATGGCACACTTGGTTTCTTGGGCCATCACACATTGAAATGCGCGATTGATGGTCCGAGAATCGAGGACCATCCTCCTTTGAGTCATAAGCATGATAAGGAGTGTGGTTGGTGCAAACATTGTTTGAAATACATTACCATTCTATGTTTTGCCCTCTGCTGCTGTCAAAACAGGTTTCTGCAGGAAGCTTTGGCCGGCCGGCCATCTATACTGCCGACCGACCAAATATTTGTGGCCGAGAGCTCAACCAATGGTCGATGACCATCTTTCCATGGTCGGTGACCATTTGTCTTAGCCGGTGGTGATCCACAGTGTCCATGGAGGATACCTTGGGAGTTGTACAATTTTCAGAGGAGTAGAGCAGGAAAAACAGAGGTAACTTGTGCATGGCGACGGATTTCCGAGCGAACCCGAGCACGCGCGCATTGGGCCCTCTTCCCGAGGCTACTTTTACTGCTTAATTAACTTAGTTAATTTGCTTAACTAGCTAATTGTCTGTAATATTTAATTAGCTTGATAGTTAGTTAAATTGTATTATTCTTTCGGTCCCTCCGAGCGAGGGCAAATTTGTAATAAGTGTGGGTACGTATGTGTATGTCTTCCAACCCCCATTTCTTTCTCCCTTTTACTTACCTGCTTTGATGGTTAGTATTAGGGCATATTTAATTTAGCATTCTTATGCTATGCATGCGTGCATCGTTCATCAGTATTGCATACACCGGGCTCGGCGCGTCATACTAACTGCATAGTATTTCAAATCAAACTTGAATATATGTTATCTGTCGCATCTCACATGCCATTCATAGATTAGCCGAGCCTATTCTAGTGACATTTTGTATGAGATACATTAGCCACCTTAACATGAATTAGGATCATGTATATGATTACTAACTAGTTCACTGTTTTAGCACGGCGTATGATGTAAGTATTTATGCTTTAGCATCTCGCATGAGTGTGAATGTTAACATGATAGCATGCTTACCATGTGGCTATATGCTTATGTGATATAACTGCATGAATGCCTGTGGGTGAAGGTTGGATTGTTTGAATTGGGATAATTCATCGAAATCCATATTTTAGCCTACTCGTGAGTAGCAAAATTCAAACCATCTTCCAAACAAACGAAAATGCAATGCTTCGTTCCGACTTAGGCAATTTAGTCTATATTTGTTTTGCTGTACACATCACATAGTAATTGTAGGCTAATAACCGGTATAAGAATACATAATGTTTTCAAAACAAGATATCATAGTTAGTAGAGGCCGGTCTTCGGATCGGGCGAGAGGGGGTGCTCATAGCTGACCTTCCCCAATCGTACCCAAGTTCCCGAGCCGAGGCAGCTTTGGTGATGACGGACACGTGGCCTTAGGCAAACGAGTTAGGATTTCCTAAATTCCCCCATAAAAAATATTTAGGTGGCGACTCTGTATCTGGCAAAGCAGTCCATGTTTGCCACTTCTTTTCTAAAAATCTGTTTTCCAAAACGATTTGCCGAATTTGGACTCTTTGGTTCAGATTTAGAACCGTGACGATTTGAGAGTCCGAACTGTAGTGAGCTCAAAACGAACAGAACGGGGGTCGTCCTTCCAGGGCGTTCGGGGACGTCTACACATTGTGTCTCTTTATTTTAAAAGGGTATGATCCAAGGATCATGTTCTTCCTCATGCCTTTTCTATTCAAATCGAATACGTGTCAACAAAG